AATTAAAATCCTTGAGTGTCCTCTTTAACAGAAAGCCCTAAACTATTAATATTTTCAGTACAGAGAAAAGCTTTTCGTATGCTTTTGAATAAATAACTTAACACTGCCATTTGCCACGTTATGATTTGTTTTTTTTTTTTAACCAAGTCACATCATCATCTAGGAGTCTCCCATATAATAACAAATTAACGTCAACTTTTAAATTTTGGTTCATGTAACAGTGAGTAACATCACTGCCAGTCTCCACTCATAAGCCATTTCTAATGATAAATACAGGATTATTTCCCCCTCCCCATCATGAATGGGAGCATCCTTTGCAAACCCCTCTTCGGGATGGAGGTCTGATGTGACCTCGTGTCTGCTAAGTTCAAAGTTAGGGTGCCATTAGAGAATGTTCCCAACTCAGAGAGAGAGAAAGTGACAGAATCACTGCAATAAATTACAGTTCACAGAGCAGCAACCATATGCCAAAGCTTCTACTATTTATGCCACAGAAATCTGGTAGATTCCTTTGGAAGAGCTCATGGGAACAACACACCCTGAGTTCTTACAACTTTGTAAGTACCTGTGACCTTTACACTTGGAGGTCACCTTGGGAGGCTGGAGAATCCTCGCCTCACATTTCCCTTCTCTTCGTGTGTTAAACATGTTGTTCCAATGTTTTCCCCTGTGAAGTGGCATTGGTGAGAAGTCTGATGTTAACCCGACTTTCTTTCCCTAGGAAGTGACTTGGCCTTTTCGCCTGGATATACAAATAACATTTTTCTTCATCTTTAAACTCCGGCACTTTTAGCAGAAGATGTCTTGACGTTGGCGGTACTAGGTCACTTCTCCTAGGGGCGTGGTGTGCCCTTTCAATACCGCGATTTGTGTTACATGGTGATTTTCTTTATAGTTTCGTTCTGTTGTTTTGGTTTTATTTTCTTGGAACTCTAGCAAATACTTACACGTTGGATTTTTCCCCTCCCTTCTATCTAATATTTTTTGCTTGGATTCTTCCTATTTCTCTTTGATTATTTTCAATTCCCTCCTTTCTACCACTTCTCTTACTACACTTCTTCCTAGTTTACTCTCCATTTCGGGAACCCTCCCTTAAGTTTTCTGGTTCTCTCCTGGACCACGTTAGCTCTTTTCCTTCACACCCCGGTTATTTATTCAGCTCATTTCCGGGCTTTTCTATTTCCGATCTGTTCCTGTGTATTTCTTAATTTCTCTTAGCTCGCTTCAAAATAGTAAGTT